GATCAACCTAAGTTCAATGGTTCAAAGTTATGCGCCAGACAAGAATCAAGAGGGATGGACAGACCAACAGACTGACACGGTGATTCCTATATAACCCCCAACTTTGATTGTGAGGGATATAAGTGGTGGTATAATAAGCCCTGTTTTTCATCTTGTTCCTTTAAATAATAATTTTTGACAAGCATCAGTAAATAAGAACACCTATTGCTATTTCATCACCACTGCTGGCCATCAGATGTTCCATAACTAAAATTTTAACATCATTAGAGAAAATGTCTGATGCAACAATGCAAAAGTGATTGTTGTACAACTTCAAAAGTTCTAGAGTCATAGATTGAGAAAAAGCAATTAAGTCTATTGCATTAGCATATTATAAATGAGCAAAGTATTCAGTAACCATCAGTCCTTGACTTTAGAACCATAAGCTTGACTTCTTATTTAATCAACAGTCATTACAGATCTACCGTATTATTACTGGATTTCTTTATGCAATTTAACAAACGAAAAGAAACGAGGACTTCATATGTGTAAACTTGATCAAAATTCTTTCAAGCCCCAGTCTGCCAATCCCTGATATGTCATTAAGACACTAAAATCAATGGGTAATACTTTGTAATGAGCTTTCTTTAACCACAGCCAGTCTTCAGAATGAAAATCTCGGACAATCTGATTGCATATGTCATACTTAATTAAGAACTTCCATGAGAAATAAAATGTATTTAATTCCAAGTTAGATAGTAATTTCCTAAATAAATTTTCCTGTTAATAATACCATATATAGTATTGAAAAAGGTGTTCAAAATGAAGCAACAGTGATTTGACAACATTTTTGTTTTCTGGCTGGATAGGTATAATACAGAAAACAAAGCAATAAATGTTCGACCAATAAAACAATGTTTAGAACTAATAACTTATAAAATGTCAATAAGATAGAAGTTTTCATATACAAGTCTAAACCTTTTTAAACAAGTGTTCCTTATAACAAAGTGAGTGGTAATATTATTTTGACATTAAATAACAGGATTTGGTAAGGATTATTTTTATTTCACTGCACTGACGTCATAATAACAACCTTTCACTGATGCAATGAGCTAGAATGTTTTACCAGTTGATAAGTTTGTAAAGGTGTTTCAAACTGCATTTTGGTTAAACTTTTTTTGCAATTGGTATTTTGAAAGGGCAAGCAAATCCTTCTGAATAAGCACATTGTAACGTATGACGTTATTGTATAGATTTCATAACTATCACAACGATTCAATATATTTTGCAATCCAAAAAGTATTTATTGAGATTCCACAACATTTAATGGTAACCTTTGGATATGGATTCAAAGCTGAAGTCAGTTCGTGCTGGACACAAAGGAGCCGTCACGAAACTACTGTTCAAATTTGACAAGTTAAAATCTTACACCAATACAGAAATTGAGAAGTGAAAGCTCTTTATGATGCCATCACACAGAAACAGAAAACATTGATTGACTTAAATAGCAGGCTCTTGGATCAAACATCAGAATCTGGAGCAGGAAATCACCAACTCAGATAAATATATGTATAAACTAGATTGCAAGCTTAGACAAATTTGCAAATTTACCAAGTCATTAAAATGTCACATGACGCATGTAATGTTGATCCTTCAAAAAGCAGACTTAACGCAAACGCATATAATTTCATGCACAAGGTCAGAGATGATATGAACACTTATGCAATAGACTCTATGAACGAGCAGTATTCAATTCATGCCCCTGCAGTACATACCCACCTGAAAATTATGTATCAACCCCCGTCAAAACTGAGATCGTCAAAAAGTAATTGATTATTCTATTATTACTAGGTCTCATTTCCAAATGATGAAATTCTTTCAAATTATATGACTGTTAAACTATTCCTACATGTATATAAAAATATACAGATGTTGTATGATTGTTTATGAGACATTACTATCCATCAAAGACCAAGGACAAGGATGAGACCTCTGTTTGTCACTATATGGCCTGCAATAATGAGCAAAACTGATACCATACCGTAAGCTGTTAAAACCCCAGGATAACAATTTAAAAGAGAAAACCAATGGCACAATTATATCAAAGTAGACAAATGGAGACAACTCTAACACAAAATATACTCTTAATCATTTAATTTACCTTTTTAACTTCTGGATGCTACATGTATCTTTATGTTATCTGATAAACAATTATATCACCAAAGGCTTAGAAATTCAAAAATACAGAAAAATTAGATTCTGTTATTCATAAAGTATATAATATTATAGGGTTACAATATATGTTGATTTCTTTGTTCATTAAAACCACAAAATAAAGTACCCAACAAAATACACACAATATACAAATTTCAATGACTTTCAAATTGTTAATATTGTAATTAAACCATCAATGAATAAAAATGAGGAGCAAAGTTCCATATTCAAGCTATCTTACTACAAATTGTGCTGTTTGAAAGGATATGATTTGCTGTTTGAATTTTCAGACTTAGTTACATAAATCAAAAGATCACAAAGAATAAAAGAAAGATACAAGAAGAATGTGTCTGAGGATACGAATGCACCTGCTCAAGCTTTGCAGAAACAAAAAAAATTGCAATTTTCAAAATAATTACCATACTCTAGAACGGTAAGTGACTCACTGCCCAAATTCGAACACTGTCTACGTGTTGTGGTTGTAAGCATTGTGTATGAGTTTCATAAGATTTAATTGAGTAAAACTTGTTAGAGTGCAGAAACGAAAATGGGACAAACGGAAGGACAGACAGTCAAGAGTAACACTTAATGCCTCTTGGCTTAGCATAATAAAAGAAGAATGTGTCTGAGGACACAAATGCCCCCACTCAAGCTTTCCAATTTTTAAAGTTAAAAGTGGGAGTAACTCTATAACCGTAAATGACTCACTGCCCAATTTGAACCCTTGTCTTCGTGTTGTGGTTGTTAGCATTGTGCAAAGGTGCCAACCCCTTTGAGTGCAATCAGTAAAAAGGCATTAAAATTTCCTTAATTTGTGTCTTTTTTCAGTAATATTTACGTAACATTTCATAATCAACTGTGCACCCAGTAATATGATTGCTTGGTTATTGGTTGCTTAACGTCCAGTGGCAAATATTTCATGCATGTTCAGGAAAAGAACACTTTACTAACAAATACAAAAGGTAGGTCATTTAATTAATAGAAGTCGCCCAGGATGAGAGTTGGGAAAATTGACACTGCCACTGGAAAATGAGGGTGTATGGGATATGGGACAGAACTTTAGCAGTGCAACAGGCCACCAACGGATTTCAAAAAGAGTTGTTTCAACGGTTCTTAAGAGTGTGTTGCACTCTTTCTTCAAGAGGAATATGAATTAACGTCCCCATTCCAACCGGATGTGGCTGCGTACTTGTACATCCACCACAGCCAAACGGACGCCACACTTTGGCAAGAGTAATACTGCCTAATGGAAGAAAACCTGTAGTGACCATATTTCTATTCCTCAGTCACACTTTTTGGGTGACTCTCAGTGACAAAATGGTTTTCTTTATTTATCAGAACTATGATTCAAGTTGATGATCAAATGAGGAATACTGACCATCGCGTCAAATGAAAATCCTTTTCATAATTATTTGCAAAAGGCATAATGGTACGGATTTCTAGTTTTCTTTCTATGCATTGAAATTTAAATTGTTCCATCAGACATTGCAAAATTGAAAACAATGACTGGTTTCATTCATTAATTATTCAAAATTAAACAAGAAATATATAGGTCGTTTTGTACTGGTAATCCCGATTGATTGCCGATTGCTAAACATCCAGTGGCAAATATTTCATGCATGTTCAGGACGAGAACAAGTAAACAATAAATTAAATAGGTAGGTCTTACAACAGAGGCCGCCCTGGATGAAGGTCGGGGGAAAATTTGTACCACGGGAAAATGAGGGTATATTGGATATGGACAGAAATTTGGCATTGCAACACGCCACCTACGGACCCCTCAAAGAGTTGTTGCAAGGGTTCTTAACGTGTTAAGAGCGTGGCACTCTCTACACGAGGCATCAGATTTAACGTCCTCATTCTGACTGGACGTGGCTGCGTACTAGATAAATCCAGCACAGCCAAACGGATGCCCACTTTGGCGAGGGTTCTACTGCCGATCGGATGAAGACCAGTGGCGACCATATATATATACCCCAGTCATTCTTAGGGATAGTCCCAATAAACTCAAAGGAAAATAACAGTCCAAACCATTCAAGCTCTAAATGTTACACGATAATGAACGTAAATCCGTAACAAACAGACTGTTAATCGTAACACCGTAATTTTGGTTCAAAATTCGTAACAATTACAGGAAAACCGTAATGGTTGGCATCTATGCATTGTGTATGAGTTTCATATAATTTACATGAGGCAAACTTTAGTAAGAGTGCAGAAACAAAAAAATTAGCAATTTTCAAAATTATAAAAGGTATAACTCTAGAATGGTAAGTAACTAACTGCCCAAAATTTGAATTCTGTCTGCAAGTGTTGGTTCTCAGCATTGTGTGAGAGTTTCATAGAATTTACATGAGGCAAACATAAGTTAAAGTGCGGAAACCAAAAAATTAGCAATTTTCCAAAATATAAAGGGACATAACTCTAGAACAGTAAGTGACTCACTGCCCAAATTCGAACTCTGTCTGCCAGTTTTGGTTCTTAACATTGTGTATGAGTTTCATAAAATTTGAGGCAAACTAAAGTTAAAGTGTGAAACGAAAATGGGACCTTCAGTAGGACGGACAGTCAAGTGTAACACTTAATGCCCTCTTCGTCTGGAGCACAGGCATAAAAAGCTTAAATAAAAATACTGCGGATTCATTAAGATTGGTGGGATACAAATTATGTTCAGATTTCGTGGGTATACGTAAGCCACATATTCAAATGTTCAACACAATTCCTATATGTTTGTATCCAGAATTTTTGCATTCCACAGTATCAATTTACAAATACAACTGTCACATGACAGTTAAACATCTGGTGCTTACCTGATATACACTTGATTGACGTACCAGGGATACCTGTTCAGGAACATCTTTAGGGGTTGATGTTCGGAAGAACGCCATGCCAGGCTAACATATCTGAAATTCAAATATAACTTGAATGAAAATAAACCATCATAAAACATCATAATAAGAGGCTGTCAGAGTGACAGCAAACCAGATTTTCCTGCAGAGGTCGAACCCTGAACAGTTGAGCAAGTATGGACACAACATTTAAGCTTAAAACAGCTCTGAATTTGGACACAGTATAGGTTTGTGACACAAAATGAATGTGGTCAAAGAACTGAAAAATTTGAGATTTGAAATTTACCTTTTATGGTCCAATATCCAAAATCTAATAACATTGTTATCATTAGCATATCAAAGAACCCCAAGAATTCAATTTTTGAATTGTTGATGAAATCAAACATAAGTTTAATTTAGGACCCTTTGGACCTCAATGGGGTAGTTTCTAGTTAATAATGAAAATAAATACAGGTTTAGATTCAGCTTTTCAAAGAACTCTATATATATTCAATTTATGTTGAAATCAAACAAAGTATAATTTTGGACCCTGATTTGGACCAACTTGAAACTGGGCCCAAAATCAGAAATCTAAATATATGTTTATTTAATAGACAAACTAAGCTTAGTTTTTAAAGGAGTTTGCTTCATCAAAAAAAATATATATATAGCATTCAGAAAATAAGTTTATACAGAATAACAAACAAACCAACCACAAAATTCTTCAAATAATTACAAAAGAAAAGATAAAAAAAATCCAAAATGTCATTTATCATTAATACAATATCTATTAAAAATCTATAAAACTTATCTGTAAATATCTTCAAAATGTCTTATAATGAACAGTAAGTTTCAAACTTTATTTATACTGTCCAACACTTAGGAAACAGAAAATTTTCAAATAAATCTGTCACCCCATTATAATTGTGTGATAAAATATTTACTAGATGTTTTGTTATCTATTAACAGGTGAAAATTACTTAAAAACAGTAAGTGTAATCAAACTCTATATATATAATTAATAGTTCCCAATATTTTTTCTTTCATTTGTGACACAAACTAATATAGATCTGCAACTTATCTATCAATGTCAACAATTTTATCTACACAATCTAATGTAATGAAATATATCCTTTAATAAAAATAGATTATTATCTAATGAAAATGATATTTGCAAATCACAATTTCTGTTCAAAGGGTAATAACTCAATCATATAAGTATATATTTGGACTTCAAAAAGTCAATAACTCAAAAACGAGAGAAGCTTAAATCGTGAAAATTGAACTTGACCTTCATTATGTTAATGAACGGACACTGTTTGGCAGCAGCAGCCCCCAAATTATATATAGAAATATATAATCTATTAGAAATTTATTACCACCAAAACCTATACCATTCTGGTTAATTTGAATAAATATATTCAAGTTTTTAAGTCAGACCATAATTATCAACTGAAGATTTGTATATATAATGTTCAGTCAAATTTGAAACTAAATGGTTCTTAATGTATATAAAATGCAAAAAAAAACTCTCTGTAGCAATCTGCATATTCATGTATTATAACAAAATGAGTCAATGATATTAACAAATATTAAATCATTTGATATTTTTCTTATAGTTTTAATTCAGTAATCTGTTGCTTTGATACCCAGTAGACTAACTTGTGAGTCAATACCATTAGAAAATCATTATGGGGGAAAAAATCAATGGTTTGATTACTTTGTAAAGAACAATGATTAATAGTTAATCAGAAACAACAATCTAACCTTTAGAAATATACATGCAAATGAATTTCGTATTAATTTCATTATGGATCATGAAAATTGCCTAAGAAGCTTGTAACTTGTTACTTTAAAGATGGTTATATGTTCTGCATATTGATCAAGTTATTGCAAAATTCAAAAAACCAATAAAATCCAAAGCTCTTGCATTGTAAATCACCAATATTCAGTGTTTTCCTGATAGTCCTAGGCATAATAAATTTTTCTGAATTATACATCTTTTCACCAACTAAGCTTTTGAGCAAACAGCTAGGTCTACTCATTTTCATTTAAAATTTTCTTCAACATACCGGTAATAGTTAAGTCTGTTAAGGTTTAGAAAGGAAAGGAAAATAGTTACAATAGTCAATATTTATCCTTTAAAAGATTTTACTATTTTCAACTTTTTAACTCTTGGCTTAGGAAATCCTGATTTTTGCACCTGTATCTGAGGTATTCTCAGAGGGTTTCTCAATTTACAATGTATTTGCATAAATTGTTTATGTATGAATAAATTCTGTTCCACCTTGCTTTACATTAGTGACTTAAATTTAAGTGTTAATCTATTAAGTTGATGAGTGTTAATCTATGCTGCATTTTATTTAATTTTGTTGATATTGTAACAATATCAACAAAATTAAATAAAAATTTGTTCCTCTGAACTTTTCAGGTCTAGCTTCACACAGCGTATTCCTGAGACAAATGTAGTCATTAGATATGTTAGAAACATTATAAAACTAACTCTACAGAAAACTCCTTATATGGCCTGTTGTTTTCATCATTTGCTACATTTGATAATAATATCAATCATTTATATCACAAATTTTTTACATTATTTCTATTTCCAAGAAAGTTTTCTTACAAATTGAAACATATAATCAATATATTGATATTGATATCAAATGAACAAAAAGCATTATCAGTCTGATAATATAATTAATTTACAGCATGAATGCAGATCTTGATAACTAGAGGCCCTGAAGCGCCAGTGCAGTCGCTTATCTGCATCAATGCACATCTTCAACAATGACCACTCTGCAACAGTATGCATTAGAATATACATGTAAATCATGATTAAAAACTGATTTTTTTCTTGTGTTGAAGATAATTTTTTCTGTTGACAGGATTTCTATATCTTCTATCTAGTTTTTTTTTTATCAAAATGTAAAAATGGGTAAAAATCCTCATGTAAGGGTGATAACTCCTATGAGGAGTCATCTGGTAAAAATGTCATTGCCCTTAAATGACAGCGTTGTCTGACAGTTTTGGTCAAAATAGACAATATGTAAATCTTGAAATACTGAACATTTTTGCCCTGTCAGGTTTTCTCTATAATGGTTTTGAAAAATAATAGACAATACTTGCATTTTACCTCCTATGTTCTATTTTTAGCCTTGACAGCCATGTTGGCAAGCGGTATCACATGACATAATTTTCAAACCAGTAGCCCCAGGAAAGAACGATTGTTGCCAAACATGGATATATTTGGCCCAGTAGGTTCACAGGAAAAGATTTTTGTAAATTAAACTGACAACAGATGACTGACACCAAGTTAGCAGGTGAGTTAAAAATCTATAAGGCACAGAGTTGTTGAAATCTATTTGGAGTTTGTCAGTCCTTGTCGCTTATGTATCATTTTCTGTAGGAATGTATATTATAAAAAAATCCAGATTTGTAGGATAGACAGGACTGATAAATTTCAACATCTCTAAAGGCATAATGCAGATCAAGACTGTACAAGTGGCAATAATTGCTTTTCATCCTGTTAATTGAACAAATACTAGCCAGTTCATTGTACAATAACTTTGCATAAGACAGATACAATTTCCTATTTATCCAAATAGCAGTCCAATAATCCAATTTCCAAAAGAATACACTTTATAGTAGAAAAGACTTACTTCAGGAAAGTTTTAACAACAAAAATTATCTTCTTTTACCACTAGCTCTATACTAGTCCAGTAAAAACTGGTTCAGGGTAGTGAAAAATACTATAAACATAGTTTTGGCAATAAGAAAAATTCTCTAATTGTAGCTGTTAAGACTGGTTTGACAAAACTCTTCTCAAGAAGATATGTACATTGTTGTATGTACTAAAAAATTATCTTGATAAATATAACTGAAAAAATCATATAAGATAATCATTACATGTAGATCCAGAAGTACATATAAACTTACAGTTTTGGTTTCTTATTCCTGTAATAATAAAAGAGCCATACACCGTCTTACATTCAAATATTGCATTGTAATATATATTATATATATATGTAGCAGTTGTTATGTCCTTCAACACTTTTTCTAGGTTGTTTTCATCATCAACAAAAACAATCATACACTGTAGCGTAAACAAAACACAAATTATAAAAATAAAAATTCCATAAATGGCAACACTGACATTGATATGACCATTTATAATAGAAAGAAATAAAATCAAATTATCGAGTAATTTACTTGACAATGCATCAGATATATTGTGGTGGGTGAGAGGAAAACTGTCTTGGGACTAATCTAGAAGAACAAATAACTCTCACATTTTCAGAATTAATATCCTTTTATTGCACCTTCAAGACAGTTAAACAAATTCAATGGTGTAAATATCAAATCATACATCTATTATTTATAGATACATTATTACTCAACTTTAATTCCAGTATTCTTTTTTAAATACTAAAGCTTCAAAACTCCAATAGGATCTATAACATTGTATAACAAACATCTACGTCATCTCAAGTAGAAATTACAACCCAGAAAAACAGAGTTGTTCAATATCCCGAACCTGGACAATGGACATCTAAAAGTACCCAAGTCTATAAATACATTCATGTTAACATAATCAACCTACTAATGCCAGGTATTTCACTCTATAAATAATAATTATGTTTTCCTACTAAACAGACAAACATAACTGCAAAGTGTTTCCCTCATACTTACATAAGCCTATGAATGCAGATCTAAATAGAATTATCTTATATCATGCATATCATTGTATTCTTACATCTTTTGTGGGAAGGACAATTGAAAAATATTCTACTATATTTGAGGAACTGTATTTACATAATTGTACATATCTATAGAAAAATGTCATGTGACTTTGACATGAAGAACAGCAATAAACAGTTATGTCAAGTGCATGGTGTAAATAACAAAATATCTCTTTGTTTCCAAAGACCCTACCATAATTTCCTTGAAGTTTTCTAAAATGCATATATAAAAAAATCTAGTGATAAATACCCCTGTGTTCAAGTCAACCACAATAATCTATATTAATCAATATCCAAGTAAGAGAAAGCTTATAATCACACTAATGATAAATGGGT